GCTGATGACACCCAGCTGTACATCTCCACCCCAGGCCACCCCAACGATGCCCTTGAAGTGATGTCCCAGTGCCTGGAGGCTGTGCGGATCTGGATGGGGAGGAACAGGCTCAAGCTCAACCCTTCCAAGACTGAGTGCCTGTGGTTCCCGGCATCCCGATATAGTCAGTTGACTCCATCACTGACTATTGGGGGCGAGTCTTTGGCCCCCGCGGAGAGGGCGCGCAATCTGGGAGTCCTCCTGGATACGCAGCTGTCCTTGGAGGAACATCTGACGGCTGTAGCCAGGGGGACCTTCTGTCAGGTTCGCCTGATCTGCCAGTTGCGGCCCTTTCGTGATCGGGATTCCCTGTGCACAGTCACCCACGCCCTTGTCGTCTCGCGCCTGGACTACTGCAACGCTCTCTAGATGGGGCTCCCCTTGAGGAGCACCCGGAGGCTCCAACTGCTCCAGAATGCGGCCGCGCGGGTAATCACGGGAGCTGCCTGGCGCTCCCACATAACACCGGTCCTGCGTGAGCTGCAGTGGCTCCCAGTGGTCTTCCGAGTGCGCTTCAAGGTGTTGGTTACCGCCTTTAAAGCGCTCCACGGCATAGGACCTAGTTATGTTCGAGACCACCTGCTGCTACCGATGGCCTCCCACCGACCTGTGCGCTCCCACAGAGAGGGCCTCCTCAGCCAAACAATGTAGGCTGGTGACCCCCAGGGGGAGGGCCTTCTCTGTGGGGGCACCTACCCTCTGGAATCAGCTGCCCCCAGAGATAAGGAGAATCCAAGACCTCGGTGCCTTCCGCCGTTCCCTTAAAACTTTCTTTTTTCAGCAAGCCGGGCTGAAACATATATTTTCAATATATTTTTTAACATTTTTAAAATATTTTTAATTGGTTTGTTATTTTAAATTGGGGCCAAATTAATATATATCCTTTTAATTGTTTTTAATGTTTGTATTGTATGTTTTTATCTGACTGTACACCGCCCTGAGTCCCTCCGGAGAAGGTGCGGTATATAAATTTGAAATAAAATAAAAATAAATAAATAAATATTTAGGGCAGCTTTTTGCAAGCAAAGAAGCTTTTTGTATTTTTGTACAGGTAATCATTGACTTAGAACAGTTCATTTGGTGACCATTCAAAGTTACAAGGGCACTGAAAAAAGTGACATGACCATTTTTCAAACTTAAGACCGTTGCAGCATCCCCACGGTCATGAGAGGGCGGGCAAGGCAAAGCACCCCTCGACGTAGGGGTGCTTTGAGTGGCCTGAGTTGGCCACGCCCACCCAGCTAGTCATTAGGGCCATGGACTGGTTGTTAAAAAATTTGCAGCTCACCACTGCCTGGGACAAATGGTATTTTGGTGAATGGGACATGCAGAGGGCCAGAGGCCCATTGGCCAGGGTGAATGGGTGGGGGAGGGCCAGCTGAGGAGGAAAGCTGGAATTAAATGGGCGGAGGCGGAAGCCTGGAGGAGGAAGAGAGCCAAGGGAAGGAGCCTGAGTGGCGTAGGAGGCTAATGCCTCCTACTAAGGCAGCATTTAACATCCAGCTGCCTGCAATTACTGCGAGTTCAATTCTCACCAGGCTCAAGGTCGACTCAGCCTTCCATCCTTTCTAAGGTGGGTAAAATGAGGTTTGTGGGGGCAATAAGCTGACTTTGTATAAAATATACAAAAGTATGAAGGCTATTGCTTAACGCATTGTAAGCCGCCCTGAGTCTCTGGAGAAGGGTGGCATATAAAAATAAATAAATAAATAAATAAAAGACCCATTTGTGGGGTAGAGGTTATAAAGCGGGAATATTGTTTTGCAACCGTATAACTGTTTCTTGAGATATTTTGAAGAAAATTCAGATATAAATTGGATAAATGAGTTCTAAAATTCTATTTAATTATAAGTCAGGTATCTTCATATATGGTTTATTTTTATTCAAATGTAAAAAAATGCCTATTAAAGTAGTATCAACATCTGTGTTCTCTATAGCCTGTTCATATAGTACCATCAGTTCCAGTGCTTAGAAAAAGGAGAATTCTTGGAACGCCATTAAATCCTTTTTCTGTGCAATCTGAAGATTCCAAGGTAATGCTCTTAAATGGGAAGTGTTGCTTTTTAGCTTTCTAGATTTTTGATGTTGTTGATACTTTGATTTTGTTTGTTGTTTTAACAAGTGGAAAATAAAACTGGCGTAATTTATTTAGTCATTAAATTGGAAAAAAAATGTACCTATGGGTGCCAATACAATTTTATTTTGCCCACTGAATTAAAGAGGCTTGCTATTGTAGGGGATATTACTTTTATTAATTTCCCTGAAGTTTGTTTTGTGCACATTTCTGTTGAAGTACAGATTGTTTATAGTATTGCAATACCAGACTTCACCAAAATGCAAAATTTAGAGGGGTAGGAATGCAACCCCAATACAAGACGATAATCACTTGGACATGTTTCAGTATAGCAAGGTTTTATCTATTAATGAGATCAAATGTGAGGTGGATTCTGAGAAGTAATGGGGATGAACTATAGATGCATGGTTCACTTGAACAAAAAGGCATTTTTGTGAACACTGTTGCTTTCTAGAAGATTACTGTTAAGGGTTATCTTAAATCATCCTTGGTTCCTAGAATCACTCTTGTCTCTTAGTATGTACTCTTCAGTATATTAACATTCCTTAGCCCTTGGAATCTTTTATACCTGAGTAGAAAAATTTCTTTTTTTTTTTTTTTGACAATTTTTATTTTTTATTTTTTCAACACATACACATAAAATACATGTTTTAAGAACAGAGCCTTGATCCGGTCATACATAGGTACTATTGCTTACTCTTCTTTATCAAACTCTTTCCCTAATTTCACCAACACTTCTTTTGAGATAAAAACCAAGTACATAAAAAAGAATTTTTCCCCATATTGTAAAATCTTAATCTAAACATTCACCTTTCTATTATATCACCACAATTTCTAATTTCCAAATAACACAACTCTGTTTTTAACTACTATTATTACTTTAAATTTTACCTATATCCCCTTATCCCAAGACCTACTTTAAGTCTTTAAGTCCTAAAAGCTCTTTTAACTTATTTCTAAATTAAACTTATCACATATTACAGTCTTTGTTTTACACAGAATTATTCCATTGTCACAATCTTATCATATTCATTTTACAATCCATAAATCATATTTCTTTTCATTATTTATCTCTTAATCATCATCTTTTCACTGTTTCCCGGCATGTTCATTTATTGTTTAGCTGATTCCCAGCATATTTATTTATTATTGCTGATTCCCAGCCTATTATTGTTGTGCTGATTCCCAGCCTATTTTTATTGTTCAGCTGATTACCAGAATCATCATTTATTATTTTAAGCTATCCTGCCTAGGAAGAACATCTCCTATTGTTTACTATTTCTCAATGTATTCATCTATTATTTAGTTGATTCCACCATATTCATTAAACATATTCTTAGTTTTACTATTTGTCTCTGTGTAACTTCCTATCTTATTTTACCATCCATTTAACTTTAAGTATTCATATTCACTCTTGTTATCATTCTATGCTTTGTTTACAATTTAACATTGAGACATAATCCATCAAATAAATCCTCATATACATCAAAACGATTTCTTAAGTTATTCTTATATTCATACATTATTATCCACCTTTACTTTAATTTTCTATTTTAATCACATTATTTTATTTTGCATCTTTATATCTTTATACCTCTATAAAACACCTTCTTTTTGCATTTAATATTTATCTAGATATTTCATTTTCATTTTTAATCAAGCTATTTTTATATTCTTATCTCCCAACCATATGCATTTGACTTCTTCGTTTCCTTGTCTGTCAATAAATCTTCCATTTCCAATTCAGTGTTATCAAATTTAATTCTCCATATATCATTTTAATTCTTTTGTTGCTTCTATTCCCTGCAAAATACATCGACTTTACTTCTCTTGTTCCTGCGCTGTTTGACTTCTTTTGTTGCCGCGCCAATTAGCAATAGTTTATAAAAGTTCCATTTGTATTTCTCTTCCTTTCCACCGAAAAGCCTTCTGTAGACAAAGCAAAAGTCTCTGTAGCCAAAATCCTATATCTATTATATGTTATTTCAAAATAATCCAAAACAAAGAGCCCATCATAGTATTTCTTTTTAAAACAGAAGATGTTTCTCTGCAAACCACATTTCCCCTTAGTTACGGCAGTATCCATTTTGTTGCAATTATGTAACAGTCTCTTTTCAACTCTCGTCTTCTTTTAAGTTTTCAAGGTGTTAATTCCCTACTTTTTTCCTTTTCTCTTTTCTTAAGATCAATTTCAATTCAAAAAGGATTTTTTCCCCAGCTTTTTTTTCTCTCTTTTTTTTAAACGTGTCTCAATGTTTGATTATTCCAATTAAGTCCATAAAGATAAATTTCCTCAAGATCAGTTTGCCAAATCTTCTATGCCCCTCACATCCATAGCCTCTGTTTTAAGGCTAGGGGTCTTTTCAGTAATAGTCAGTGCTCTGGCATTGTTACAAGCCTAAATCGGTGTAAACTCACCCGGCTTCAAAGAGTATCATTCTTAGAAAAGAATGATGAAAGAATAGAAATTCTCCTGCACATTTCTTTATTTGGTTCGTCACAGCTTCGTGGCAGCCGCCATGACTGCCGCCCCCCGCTGCCGACTCGCAGAGAGTTCCCTCCGACCTCCGAGGAACTTGCCCGTTCCTCTGGTTGTCCGAGGTGCCTCTCTTTCATCCCTGTCCACTATCGGGACGGTTCCGGTCCAAAGACCCATCGGCGGCGGTTCGTCAGCCGGGGTTTTCGCGGGACTCAGCAGAGCCGCCATTTCCCCGGCTGTATCGCCGCGACGCCAAACCGGAAGTCAAAAAATTTGTTTCTTTATATTCCTCGCAAGATAATTAGGCAAAGAGGTTTTTATTTCATTGATTATAATCAGCACCTTATTTCTGTTACACTATTTCAACTCATATATTTGTGTGCATAACAAATTCACACAATACTTGGGTCAACCAGAAGTGAGATTTATTGGAAAAGCTGTTTGCAAAGAGGTGGTGAGACTTCGGCTTGGCACAGCAACAGAAATCCACACCCAGTTACAGATCTCAGCATATTTTATACAGTTCTATCACTGGCTGCTTGTCCCTCCTAGCCAGGCCCAGTTGATAGGCCTGGTTCAGTCACATGCTTTCTGACAACCTCTGAATAGAATAGAAATAGGAATAGGAATAGAAAAGGAGAGGAGAGGGAGAGGAGAGGAGAGGAGAGGAAAGAAAAATAGTTTATTGGCCAAGTGTGATTGGACACACAAGGAATTTGTCTTGGTACATACACTCTCAGTGTACATAAAAGAAAAGATACATTCGTCAATAATCATAAGGTACAACACTTAATGATAGTCATAGGGAACAAATAAGCAATCAAATCATATTAGGAAACAGTCAATATAAATTGTAAGGATACCAGCAACAAGATTACAGTCATACAATCATAAGTGGGAGGAGATGGATGATAGGAATGAAGAGAAGATTAATAGTAATGCAAACTTAGTAACTAGTTTGACAATGTTGAGGAATTATTTGTTTAGCAGAGTGATAGAGTTCAGGAAAAAACTCTTCTTGTGTCTAGTTGTTCTGGTGTGCAGAGCTCTATTGCGTCGTTTTGAGGGTAGGAGTTGAAACAATTTATGTCCAGGATGCGAGGGGTCTGTAAATATTTTCACAGCCCTCTTTTTGAATCGTGCAGTATACAGGGCCTCAATGGCAGGCAGGTTGGTAGTAATTGTTTTTATTAATCTATTATTCTTTCATTAAAATTAATTAGGCCTGTGTTGCTAAACACCCAGCCAACCCACTTCAGTTCTCATCTTCTTGATATTCTCTTATCTTGTTTTTCTGTACAATCCAGTACCTGGTACATATCTCAAGCCAGAAGCTGTGTATGTCATTCTTCAACAGGGGTCATATATCGGGCAAACATGGCTGTGCTCTAGATATGTAATAGTGTGGCTATACTTTAAAATATTAACTCTAAGCAAATGAACAAATGAACAAATATACAAGCTATATGCTAGTCTATATTATGGCAAATTGCATGTATCCCATATTTACTTATTACCTTGTTAGGTCAAGCTTTATTAACTCTTTATGTCTTTTTTTCTGATAATAACTTTAAAGCACCCCCTACACTTGTGAAAATGTAAAGAAAATCTTATCATTTGAAAAGCCCTGCTTATTTCTAGCGCTTATGAAATTAGAGCAGGTGACGGAGGTCTTTTTCTGAAAACGCTGAAGTCCTTATTGTCATAACTTTCAAATGTTTGGTCTTCAAAGGGAATGCTCCATTTCGCATATGTTTTCTATTTAAAATGGGTACTGGTGTAAAGAACTAAAAAAAGTCTAAACAAAAAAAAAGGAATGTATGCACTATTTGTAAGAAACATACTACAGTTTATTCTTTTTTTTGAAAATTTTTTTATTTATTTTTAAAACATAAAACAACATCTTTATGGAGCAAGAGTTTGGCCTGGTATAACATAGGTATAAATTCCCAATTTCATCGATTAACATCTTAAGACAAACAAAAAATAACAAAAAAACAAAAACAAAACCGAAATCTAAACCCAATTTTTATCATTCAATCTAACATCTTATTCTAACATTTAAGTTTTTATTATGTAGTCACCCTAACTCTTAAACTTCAAATCCAAACATCACTTTATAGTATTCATTTATCATTTAAAATAAGCAGTATTTCATGTATTTTCTGTACTTCAAAGACGCAAATCAAATCAATGTTTCTTTTAGAACACATCTAATAACCAATATAAAATATTTCATTCCTCTCTGAAAGACATTTTAAAGTAAATATCCATTCTTCAAAAGTATCTCCTTCATTCCTCCTAGGTTTATTTTTAGCTAGATTGCAGCTTAGTTAGCTGGTTTATTCTTGTTACATTGTGAGCCACTCTGAATTGTCTAGAGTTGGGCAAGGCATAAACTGAATAAAATCAATTACGTTGGTGTCCATTTTTAATTGAAATTATTTGTGTTTAATTGAAATTATAGGTAACTGCTATAGTGAGAAAATCTATTCCTCCTGGAAAAAAAGAAATCCCTTCATTACAGTCTAAACATTCAGTCTCGTTAGCTAGATCAGAGGCAGTCACAGAAGAGAGTATTAATAATGAAAATGGAGTGCAACTGATGGAAAATGAACTAATAAAAATAAAAGAAGAATCTATTAAAGGTATGTGTAATACTTCTGGTAACCTTACCCTTTTCAAATATGCTAGCATTGTAAAATCTACCTTGTAATTATACTCCTTTGCCATCCAAGAGTATTTTCCAGTTTCAATATGTGGCTTCTTTTAAACCTCTGAAGACCTGTTTGCTTCAAAGAATTATATTGTACTATCCCACATGTAAACAGCAACAATAATTTAACATATTAACAGTAATACAATGAACACAAATAAAACAATGATAATCAGTGCAGTACATTTATAGGCCTGAGTCAGGAAACTGCCCAAATATGAAAACCAGTTCATGTCATATCCTGGACCAACACTTTTGAAAGCAGACAGGTCTTTAAGGCTGTTTGGAAAATTAACATCTGGATCAGTGGTGGGATTCAGCTGGTTCTCTCCGGATTGCGCGAATCTGTAGCGGCGACTGCAGGAGGCTCTGCCCATCCGCCCGGATGTAATGTGCGACTACTGTGCATGCACAGAAGGCCATGCACATCCGCTGAGGTGGCCCATGCACTCACATTTGTGAGCCAGTAGGGAAGGTTAGTGAATCCCACCTCTGATCTGGATCTCAGGGTCTGAGGTTGGGGACCACAACAGAGAAGGAAGACATATTGGGATCTAAGGCATTTTTCTTCCCTATTAATAATAGGCTGACCTGATCAATAATAAAGCTCACTGTACCTTCAGCCTTGAACTTTGTACCTAGTATTTGTGAATATAAATATATTCAGTGGCAGAAAGTTTGGATGAAATACATGTGTATAATATTCCTTGGCCTCTTAAATGCAGTTAGCTGAAGTAATCTTCTGAAGTACAAAGGATCCTTGGGTATCTTAGTGTATTTGTCCTGATATGGTCACTCACACATTGGTTACCTCCCAATTGGACTATTGCAGTGGTGAAATCCAAATTTTTTTACTACCGGTTCTGTGGGTGTGGCTTGGTGGGCATGGCAGAGGAAGGATACTGCAAAATCTCCATTCCCATCCCACTCCAGGGGAAAGATACTGCAAAATCCCCATTCCCTCCCCACTCCTGGGGGAAGGACATTGCAAAATCTCCATTCCCACCCCACTCGGGGCCAGCCAGAGGTGGTATTTGCCGGTTCTCCGAACTACTCAAAATTTCCGCTACCGGTTCTCTAGAACTTGTCAGAACCTGCTGGATATCACCCCTAGACTACTGTAATGCATTCTACATGGGGCTTCCTTTCAAAACTGTCCAGAAGCTTCAATTAGTCCAGTGCGCAACAGTGCGGGTAATTATGGATGTATCTTGTTTTGCCCATGTAACACTGCTACTTTGTGAGCTGCTCTGACTCCTTATAGGTTTCCAGATGCAGTTCAAAGTTTATTTGAACTTTATTTATTTAAAGTTTAAATGCTATTTTACATAAGGCCCTATATTATTTGAGGGAATCCTTCTTCGAGAACCTGCTCCACATGCTCCCACAAGAAGGCGTACTATAGGTGCCTTCTTTTAAATCTTGCCATTTTATGGGACTGAGGAAACATGCCTTTTCTGTGGTTGCCACTGTGGCTGGAGTGATCCCCCCCCCAAATATATGAGTAGCCTAAATTCTTCTCGCCTTTAGGAAAGCCCTTAAATCTTGGCTCTTTCCCCAAGCATTAGGGGCCAGTTGAATAGGTTTCCTCCATGTGATTGTCTTGTTGTGTGGTCACCATTTTACATTCTATTTGTATATTTTGACTGTTTGTTACAGATAGTTTTCTTTGGATTATTTTTCCTGTTTTGTGTTTAGAGTCTACACTGCCCAGAATCTTACTGTTTGAGTTTGATGGCTTTATATATTTTGAAGTCAATCAGTCAATCAAGACTTTCCTGGCACTGCCCATATATTCACTTATTAGGTGAATTTAATGAAAGTTTTATTCTCTGTGTTAATGGCCCCTTTATAAATACATATAAACTAAGTACATAGTTTACATTATTTAATTAAAAATTTTACACAATTGACAGTGGAATCTGTCTTTGTGTAGAAAGCATAGACACTGTTTTTCTTTTGTGTGTTAGTAATACATGACAGAAATAATTCACTTTAAGAACCAGAATATTCACAATGCTTCTCAATTGCTGAAGAGTTTCCTGAGACAATAATCTCTAGTCTGTAGCCTAAATATTTATTATCTACTTGTTCTATTCAACAGTTGAACCCCTAGTCCAGATCCTGAGGGCAAAAAAAATATAGAGGGCAGTCAAATATAGAGGGCATTCTGCAGCCAGGGAGGTGACTGGAAGCTGGATTCAAGCGGTTGTCAACGCTTTTTTGAGGAAAGGGGTCTTCCCCGCCACACTCAAAGAGGCGGTGGTTCGTCCCCTCCTCAAGAAGCCCACCCTGGATCCAGACTCCCTTAATAACTATCGTCCAGTCTCCAACCTTCGCTTTATAGCAAAGGTTCTTGAGTCTGTGGTGGCACAGCAGCTCCCCCAGTTCCTGGAGGAAACTGACTACCTAGACCCGTACCAATTGGGTTTCAGGAGCGGGAACGGCATTGGTTGCCCTAGTAAATGATCTCTGGCGGGCCAGGGATGGGGGTTGTTCTTCCATCCTGGTCCTTCTTGACCTCTCAGCGGCTTTTGATACCATCGACCATGGTATCTTACTGCAGCGACTCGGCGGGTTGGGGTGGGAGGCACTGTTTTACAGTGGTTCTCCTACCTCTTGGGACACTCGCAGTTTGTGTGGACGGGGGAGAGAGATCCAGCCCGAGGTCCCTCACTTGTGGGGTGCCTCAAGGGTTGGTTCTCTCCTCTCTGCTCTTTAACATCTACATGAAACCGCTGGGTGAGATCATTCGTGGTTTCGGGGTGAGGTACCATCAATATGCTGATGACACTCAACTTTACATCTCCACCCCGGATCACCCTGGGGATGCCCTTTCTGTGATGTCCTGCTGCCTGGAAGCGGTGCGGGCCTGGATGGGAAGA